GAATTAAGTAATACTGTCATTTTAAGAAAACTTCATAAAAATAGTAAGATAGGCATTCTTTATAGGATTATTACTAAATTATTCTATTCTTTAACGGATTATTTTAAACACAAAGTACTTAAATTATTTTTAGATAAATGACTCTCATTTGAAACCTAATCATTTTAAACACAACTAGGGTTCCAGCAATATTTTCTATGTTGAATAAATGTCAGATTGCCTCATAAACAAAATATTAATTTTAAAAGTCTAAAATATGTTTAATATTAATAAGACAGCAACATACGTATTTTTAGAAATTACTGCTTTAATATCTCTCCAGGCAGATTAACTTTTCTTAGAAAGAACTTTCATTATAACACTGAAAATTTAAATTTTTGTTTTAAATCTAAAAATCATTCTCTAAAATTCTGTTACTTGCAACGGACACATTGCAAAGGTGACATCAAATGCCTTATGAGTTATTTATTATAATATTATTTACTCTAGTCAAATGTTGTCACTAAATATGTTGTAAAGAATAGTGTATACGGCTATACAAGTCCCTCACCATCTCTCACCCTAAGGGTAGGGATGCCACCCCATCCCTACCCTTATGTGTCTAAATCCAATGTCTTAATCTACTTATCTGTCTCTATCATTATTAAAGTATTCACTTAAAAAACTACCCTGCCACCCCAAATTTAGTTACATTTCTACCATCCTCTTCCAAGTTACGTACTGGCAAATTTAACATTTAGAGATGTGCTACAGAACAAAACAAAGTTGGGAAAGATAAACTCATAAAACTAAAGGGTATGCTTTTGTACTGCAAAATAACATTTCAAAGAATGAGTCAACTAAAATGTTTAAGAAAAAATATTCAGTAGGTCAAAGGGAATCATTTTTAACTACTGTAAATTAGATTAGACTGAAAAATAATGTGATTCATAAAAAAGTTAGTCAAGTGTATTTTTTGATTAAATCTTATTGACCTATAATATAAAAAATTCACTCAGTCCAGTAGTATCGGGGTATTTTAAAGGCCCCATTATCAGTTCAACATAATTTTGAAACTACAATTTGTTTTTGTTTTACAGCTATTATTTCAATACTACTGTAACAATTTGAACAACAGAATCTATTTTAGATCTTCAAGGTCATTGACTCCTTGGTTAAAAACAAATTACAAACCAATTAAACACTAATTTTTCAACCTGTTTTCATCCAGCGAAATATGGCAACCCAAGGCACTTCAACTATCAACCCTACTTGTGATGTACGTATACATTTCCAAGTAAAAAATCTTGAACTAACATCATTAAGTAGAACTGGAAAATTCTGTTGTATTTATTTATACTAACAACATTTTACTATTATTTCTTCAGGCAAAATAAAGTTATCCCCATCAGACGTTTATCCATCTCATCTTTTTATTTTAATCCTTTCCTTCAGTTTTAGTCTCTTCCCTTATTTCCCTACAAATCCTGGACCCTGTGGTCACTGTTTATTTTCTAACTTCAACTTGTCCTTTGCTTTCCATCCTTAAATCCCCAATTCTACTTCAGTTCTTCAATCCATTCCTTCCCCCAAACAACCTAAGAACTAATGGAGAAAAATTATACAAGTTGTGTAGAATTGTTCAATAAAAATATAAAATTGATAATTTCACCTGTCCATTGACATATTTACCTATTGTTAACTTACCTTCAGTTAGATCCTCTCCTAATCCCCTTCACAGGCTATCAAAAGCTTTTGCTACTTTCATTAACTGTCTACCCCACAGCCTGCTTAATTCTCAGTATATGACCTGAGCTCATCCTTTGTAGCCAGTTGAGACAATTATACAGATATGCCACTTCTCGTCTACCCTCAGATAGTAACAAGTTACCATCTGAAGCCATATCCTTGCTTCCTTCTTTGCAATGTACAGAAAGAAATATCCCTCATTCTATCTAAAGCATTCTGTCCTGGATATTCTTAATACCATATCCCCCAGAATTGGATGATATTGGTCCATCATTCATCCTTTCTGACATTTTTCTTCAATCTTTCCTGCTCCACTAGTTCCATCCCATTATCCCCGAAGTCTCTCCTAACTAAAATAAAAAAAAAAGTTCTTGACCCTGCACATCTTCTTCAAGGAATTTTTATCTCTAACATTAAATTTTTTCTCTTTTTTCAGCCTTCATCTCTGTACCTTCCTTATCAGCTTGCCCTTAAACAATGATTATCCTGGGTTCCAGTGTCCATTCTCTTCTCACTCTTTACCCTCTCAGTTTCTCACATATACAGGAACTCATATGTACCCCTGAGGGATTGGTTCCAGAACTCTGTTGGAAACCAAAATCCACGAATGCTCAAGTCCCTTATATAAAATGATGTACTTATACACACCATCCCACATCTTTTAAATTACCTCTAGATTACTTATAACACGAATACAATGTAAATACTGTGTGAATAGTTGTTATACTTGTATTGCTTTTTGTGTTTTTTTTTAAATTGTTGCTTGGTTATCTTTTATTTTATTTTTTCCCAAATTATTTCTGACCCAAAGTTGGTTGAATCTATGGATCTGGAACCGATGAATATGGAGGTCTAACTGTATACCCAACTGCTTATGAAACCTCCACCTGAACAATTTTGAGACATCTCAAGTTAACTAATCATTTTTTTACAATTTTTCGAATCTCAGTACTTTTTTTTTTTTTTTTCTGAGACAGAGTCTTGCCCTGTCGCCTGCCTGGGTCGGAGTGCAGTGGCACAATCTCGGCTCATTGCAACTTCCGCCTCCCAGGTTCAAGCGATTCTCCTGCCTCAGCCTCCCAAGTAGCTGGGATTACTGGGATGTACCACCACACTCAGCTAGTTTTTGTATTTTTAGTAGAGACAAGAGTTTCGCCATGTTGGCCAGGCTGATCTCAAACTCCTGACCTCAGGTGATCCGCCTGCCTTGGCCTCCCAATGTATTTTTTACCTCAGCTGGTAACACCAAAATTAATCAAAGTACTCAGTAACTGGAGTATCATTCTAGAATCTTCTGTTTCTCTCACCATTGCTCTACAACTAATCAGAAATTCTTTCAATTTACTCCTTAAATTTCTTTATTTCACACCCTCATGACCACTGTTCAGATCAGGCTTTCAATTCTCTTGGATTATTTTAGATAGCTCTCCCTCCCCTAAGTGATTTCCATAATCTGGTCTCAATTTCTCAAATCCATTATCTCTATAACCACTATAATTAACTTACTGAAAAGAAATCAGATCATAACTTCTACTTTCTTGCTTGAAACACTTCATTACCTCTTTCGTCACTTTCTAAAACCTTTTATGATCTGACTCATGACTCTGCCTTCCTCCCTCCAATCCCCAAACAAAACCAATGTTCTTGAACACACGCCTGTGCAATTTAAGGTAATTGTTTGTACACTTTATTCTTCTGGCTAGAACAGCCTTCCCTTGATGTGCATACCAGATACCTTAAAATGTAGCTCTGATATCTCTTTTCTGAAACGTTTCTTTTTTGACTACTACTCCACAGTGATCCCCACAAGGCAGAGTTAATTGTGTCTTCCTCTGGCCTATCCCTGTACCTTGTGACTTGTTCCTAATACTCTATTACATTACATAGTTGACCCTGCTATAAAAAACTCAGAATTGGCCAGGCGCGGTGGCTCACGCCTATAATCCCAGCACTTTGGGAGGCCAAGGCGGGCGGATCACGAGGTCAGGAGATCGAAACCATCCTGGCTAACATGGTGAAACCCCGTCTCTACTAAAAATACAAAAAATTAGCCAGGCAGGGTGGCGGGCGCCTGTAGTCCCAGCTACTCGGGAGGCTGAGGCAGGAGAATGGTGTGAACCTGGGAGGTGGAGCTTGCAGTGAGCCAAGATCGCGCCACTGTACTCCAGCCTAGGCGACAGAGCGAGACTCCATCTCAAAAACAAAAAAAAAACCTCAGAATTTGTGTTTTTTATAATGGTATTCATGAATGATTCATGCAGAAACATACAATATTTGACACATTACTTTACCACAAAATAAAAGCATTGAAGGCAAGCATAGAAAACACTTTTACAAATTTTGAAAGAATAAATCAGGAATCCTTAATCAGAAATGAATACTATAACATTCAAAGAAAAAATCACCTAAACAACTCACATAGTAAAAAAAAAAAAGATACTCTAAAACTACACAGGGGTTAAGAGCACAGAATTTTTGTCAGAGTACACATATTATAATTAACACAGTGCCTTGAAAACAACTGTATTTTTTTTTTTTTTTTTTTTTTTTGAGACAGAGTCTCGCTCTGTCGCCCAGGCTGGAGTGCAGTGGCCAGATCTCAGCTCACTGCAAGCTCCGCCTCCCGGGTTTACGCCATTCTCCTGCCTCAGCCTCCTGAGTAGCTGGGACTACAGGCGCCCGCCACCTCGCCCGGCTAATTTTTTGTATTTTTTAGTAAAGACGGGGTTTCACCATGTTAGCCAGAATGGTCTCGATCTCCTGACCTCGTGATCCGCCCGTCTCGGCCTCCCAAAGTGCTGGGATTACAGGCTTGAGCCACCGCGCCCGGCACAACTGTATATCTTTAAAGTTAACTGCTATTATAACTAATACTATTATTATTAAATTAAATAACCAGACATGGATGAATTAAAAATTGTTCTAGGTCATAAGTACTTTTGGTCTTGGTACTAAAAACTGTAGATTCCACCAAACTCCTTTATGTTTTTAAGGAAAAAAAAAATCACTTAAGAGGGATTTCTTATTATACTAGTAAATGTGATAAATAATAACTACATTTTGTTACTTCCTAAGTAATTTTAATGGTTCTTTCTCTAATGCAAATCCTTTCATTAACAAGAAATTCCATTGAAGAGATTTGCCAACCTCTACTTGCTGAAAGTTTCTTTCTTACCACGTAGCAAAACAAATGCATCAAATGATTAACACAGCAAAATGCCAGTAAATTCTTTTCCTACAAAGTTGTAAGTTCTAAAACAAGTTGCTTTTACCTTCAGGAGCATCTGCATCACATCTCTTTGGCACAGAAAGGGTTGAATTGCCTTTATGGTTATCAGAAGTTATATTAGTCTGAAAGATAAAAATATAGTTAAAATGTAAAAACCACATTAATAAATACATTTGGATTTAAAAAGTAATCACTATGAACTGTATACTCCATATACTAACTACATCTATCTAACATTCCAAAATGTAAATTTTATGTAACATTGTTCTTAGAAGAAAAATAATTATGGTAAATCAAACATTAAGGCTTTTTGCAATAATAATCCTTTAGGTCCTGTGTTGAAGAACAGGGTTTCTTCCCAGAACAAATTCCATTTTAAGTACAAAGTAGAGCATCTGAAAAGAATGCTATTTTCAGACTGTGGAACATGCAAAGAATATCTTTTGTCCAAGCAAAAGCATAGTCTTCCTTCATTCCTTCACAGGAGGATGTTTAATAAGCATGACCTAGTGAGGTAGGTGAAGGGGATGATTGGGCAAGAAGAGAATCAAAAGGTATAAGAAGTGAGAAATATGGTTCAGGTGATTTTCCAGCATGGTGTTTCCCAAACTCAGGTCATTCATGTACCTCCATCATGATCTGTGCTTTATCTGTTTCACCTGCATTATAAGTAAACATTTTTCAATGAAAAAGCCTTTTAACACTCATCAATATTATCGAGGGTACTGATTGAAGGTTGATATGTTTGTTAGATTTTTCTTTCTAATTGCATGTTAAAGTAAAGAAAGAATGAAGGAAGTGCAGGATAAAAAAGAAATGATCTGGGCACAATGATTTAATAATGAAAGACTCCACTAAAGCAATGCTTGATCAGGCCCTGAAACATAAATATGGTTTGAACAGTTAAGAAGCAGAGCAAAAGGTATTTTAAAAAAAGGAAACAAACTAAACAAAGTTTGAATCAGATTTGGTCAGAATATTTTGAATCGTCAGAAAATCCAAACACTGTTCTATTAAAACTAAAAGTCACAAGTGGCTTTTGAGAGCTCAACAACATCAATAAATCAGCATATGAGGATACCTATCACGTTAAAAGAATGTATAGTTATCTACATATAAAACATTTATAAAGCCTCTTCTAGGGGATTCATAGTGCCAATGAACGGACATGCTGTGCTCACCAAAATGTTCTTTGGGAGCCACATTATTAAAATTAGTTAAAATGTTATTTTAGAGGAAGTATTATGAGTTTTAATGAAGTACTAACGTAGAGCTCAGTAGCTTAGCATCACAGGGCCCATTTAAGGAACTATTGTAATGAAATTCTGTGTGTTGTTTCAAAAAAACAACAGTATGAAACAAATATAAACACGCTAAAAATAGAAATAAAAAACCAGTTTTAGCAATATTAAATTTAATCTGATAAGCTAATATGCTAACCATCACAATTAAAATTTGATTTTAAATATCACTATCTTTAAAATATCAAAATAATCAAGTTTTAAGTATTTCACTTACCTCTATTAAGTAATTTTGGCTTCCATACATAACATATTGGGGAGCAAGACTATAAATCATATAGCTAGTGTGAAGGACAATAAGCAGAAGTATCATGCAGAGAAAAAGGAGTGCTTGGGGCCTGGTTCTACCTCTTCTGATTTTATATAACTGGAAAGAAAAGAGTGACAAAATTTCAGCAAAATATTTCATTTGTAAAGCATTAAATACTGTTCTTGTGTTATGGGAAATGATTTACACAGTTCAGTCAACCATTATTTTTCTTCCAAAGTAAATACTAAAAATTCTTAATCATCCCAAATAATTTTAAGATAATTCATATGGTCTATTTCCAAAGAAATCTTCTAAACTTACTGTGTAACACTATCTGTTAGAAATTCATGGAGCTAATTGTAAACTACCTCTAGTTCTATCTAAAGATTAGAACTATGAATTTAAACTATAAGTATCAGTAATATACTATGGTTTTATATAACTTTTTATATAATACTGTATAAGAATAGACAATGTCATGTGTTTATAAACATCCATTTCTATGAAATACTCATGACATCCTTATACTTTGCTATAAAAATTAGTTTATGAAAAATTCTGATAATCTTACTAAAGAGCTTTTCACATTTATCTATACTAAAGGGAAATGAAAATACATGGTAACAGAAATATAAGGAACCAGGTAACTTGCTTCATTTCAATACCATAGCATGCTTTTATTTTAGCAACTTAGGTATCACCTCCCTGTTTTATTACTAGATTGTAGTACAGACTCCAATTCCAGATGGGATGACAATAAGACCATTTATAAATTTACATTTCCCAGGTTCTTTCATAGCCAGTAGTGGCCATGTGATAAAATACTAAACATGAAAAGCAAAGCAGAAGTCTGTTAGGGATTTCTGTAAAAGTCTTGTTTTATTGATATAATTGTATACCCCTTTCTCCTAACTACCTTTTTCTTCACAGAATATGAACAGGATAAAAGGAACTGCAGCAGCCATACTACAATCATGACAGAGATACTCGAAGAATTACAGAGATATTGGATCCGACTTTTTGAGCTACTGAAGCAATACTAGCTTCTTTTTTCCATAGCAAGAAATCTTTCATTAGTTCAAGCCACTATTTAACTGAGATCTCTTTTACCCACAGTAGTGGGTAAAAGTAGTGGAAGTAGTGTCACTACCCACAGTAGTGGAAGTAGTGTCTATCTGATACAGCTTCATTTTAAAATTGTTAATTTACGCAAAATAAGCATTTGAAGAAAATAACCAATGATACGGTAATCTTTACTAATAGGGAGGGCTATCTTTTGAGCTTCAGTGTATCTATTATATTCAAATGTGTTTCTACTAAGAAATAATATAACTTTTGGACCAGGGTTTCTCAACCATGGAACTACTGACATTTTAGGCTAGATAAGTCTGCCCTATGCACTACAGGATTTTTAATAGAATCTCTGGCCCCTACCCAATACATGCCACTAGCACTCCCCAATTGTAACAACTAAAAATATCTCTAGATATTGCCAAATGTTTCCGGGGGGGCAAAATCACCCCGTTTAAGAACCACTGCTCTAGATAAAAAGTACTCTTATGTCAACATGAAGTGAAAAGGCTAGTATTTCTCTCACTTGTGGTATAAAGATACAGCTACTATATTCTAAATCTAAGATAATTTGCAATAATAGAGATTACACACAAAATGAGAAAAAAATACTGTAATATATACTTACTCTAATCCAAAAGAACCATATGCCAATATTTCGAATTCCTGCCATTGAAGTAAAAATAAAGTACATAATAATAATTGTTATAAGAATATAATCAAGAGGGAAAACCTGAAAAAAAAGATGAAATTAAATTTAACATATAAACTATAAGCACTCTAACAGTCATATAAAGTAAACTAAAAACATTATTCCCATTTGGCAAATATTTACAATATCAACCTTGATTTAAATTAGGCTACTGTGTTTAAAAAAAAATCCTCAAAAAACAAACAAGTACCAAACTATTACCAAAATTTTTAATACCATTATACTAAGAAAAATCCTAAAGCAAATTAAACTAAAATTGCATTTATTGATGAGATAAAAGACTTGATTAAATATTAATACCAAAAATAATTTGGAGAGGGTCACCTCATGTTATGTAATATATCCCAAGGCAAATTATGTATAACATAAAAGTCTAGGAATATATCAATATAATAATATTTAAAGCAACATGTCAATGTATAAACTACAGGCAAATAAAAAGTAAAACTAGAAAATAACATAAGCACATGTCAAACTATTAATAGGTTTTTAGCATAATAATTTTATGTGGAACAGGATGTCAGAATGTTTGCTAGACTCTAGCATTTTATACTCTAGCAGCTACAGTATAAAATGATTGATATTTTACTTACTGTTTGTAGTAAAGGCAAAAGCATATTCAGTGGATTACTCAGGTTTGCTCCAAAAATTATGAAACCAGAATCTATTCCAGCTGAATGAAGAGCTTTATCTAAACTAAAAAAATTATAATGAAATTTATGTTATACTACCAAATTTTCAGCAAATTTAGAAAAAAATCATAATTTAAGCATGCAAATACATCTAAATCAAAGAAAACAATGGATAACAAATTAAATCTCACTTAAATATCTCACAGCTATTGTTCAATTGATGGAGAATAAAGAAACATTCTATTATTGGACGTTTTAGCCATTCTTTGAGTTAATGCTATAGAACACTTCAAGTAAGAAAACTACTTAAGATGAATAGCCTACACTAATGGCATTCAGCAACAAAATGTATATTATCACAGAATTTGCATAAGTGCTTTAGAAAATGTGTCTACTGTACTTACTTTGACAAGAAGAGAGAAATTACAAACAGTAATGCAACTAAGATGAAAAATATTCCCCAGATGATCTAAAAGCAAAAATATATTCATTAAAATATAGTTCTAAAAGTTGATATTAAAAGCACAAAACCATTATATTCAATATGAGTTGCTAGAATATGACAAAGATCTAACAAAAACAATCTAAGATACATTTTAATTTAGTATACAATTCCAGGCATTTATACCTGAATTTTCATTATGAGACTATTTGATTGAGAACATGTACATAAAAGAGATAAAGCATTTGAAAAGTCTTCACTAATAAGTAAACAAATGAAACTCTTTGTTAGACCAAATACAAAGTTTTTATTCCACTACACTGAAATGAGACTTTAATGTTGACTGAAAAGTACATTATGACTAACAGACACACACACACACCCCAAAACCATGAAATGCAGGCTATATTACCCTGTTAGTTAAAATAGAAAATTTAGAACATTTTCCCATAGAAGTAATAATATATATAAATGATATATATAGTGGTTAAATTGTATTACAATCCATAAAAGCCTGTACAAGTGATACTATTCCTGAAACAGAGTACTAACAACACTGAAAAAATTGTCATGTAAAACAATGTTTCTGTGGAAAAACGTCCTAAGCACTTTAAGTAGCGGAACACATTTCTCCCAATTGTATGAACTTTATATTAAAGCTGGTAGAAAAAGAGGAAGAAAAATATTATAACTGAGTTTCTAATGAAAAGTTTCAGAGTATAAAAGGGGTGAAATCTATGTTAAGAAAAACCTAAGCTCTTTTTCCCCCAAAATCTTCCCCAAGTTCCAGGGACAACTGGGCTAAAGAGTTGTCAAGACCAGACCCAAAAAGAAGAGTCCCAGTAAGCACAGTTAAGTGTGTGGGGCTCCTCCTTTAACTGGAATTGATATAAAGAGATCAATGAATGTTATGAAATCATGAATGGCAGGGAGATTTTTTCATCTTATGAAAAAATCTTACTTTCATCTTACTTTTTCATCTTACTTTCACATGACTGTTGAAGTAAATTTTAGAATCCTGAGAGAATAAAAGAAGTAATGCATGAACCTACCTAGCCTGAAAAGATGATTTTTGGAAGTAATTTTAGACCTGCACTGTGGGGAATTCTTCAGTTATGGCAGGGTGCCTTTGGGGTTCACTGGGAAGGACAGAGTTGACAACGAGAGGGGACCAAGAAGGCTATAGTCATCTCTTGAAAACAGAGTGATATTGCATGTACTATTTTTCATGCTGGGATTCTGCAAGAGAATTCATTATTTAAAAAGGGTTTCATTGCAAAAGATTTTGAAGTGACTCCTTTATAGTAACAAATGTTCATTAGTAGAGGGTATAAAGGAGTTAATCTTTTTTTTCTACTAGATTCAGGCATCTATATTTGGTACTGTGGTGAACCGAAAGGCAAGACAGACTTATACTTAGGATTCTCAAGTGAAAAACATTCCTTCCTAATAGCTGTTAACAAAAAATAGTTTGTAGCATGAGGCAGTATAACTACCAAGTGCCAATTAGTAGTAGGAGAACATGATATGGAAACAGGATTTGAAGTTAAGATTCCCTTCCTTTGATGTCTATTTTGGCAAAAAAAAAAAAAAAAAAAGCTAAAAAAAAAAAAAAAAACCTCTTAGCTATCTTCCCAATCTGTAGAGATGACTGACCCAGAGTTAGACTGCTTAATCAGTGACTTAACAGAATACAGAACAAATGTAAAAAATATAAATACTTTATAAAGACCAAGAAAACTATACATATTTAAATACTAGAACTTAAATTAGTAGTTACAGAATCATATCAGTGATGACCACATTGGGGTGACCTAAATGCTACATATTATGCTCTAGCTATAATGCCAATTTTGAAATAAAAATTAAACTATAGAGGTAACGTCAATAAAAACAGAATAAGAACTTCTGAACATTTTCTCCTCTGTAAAAGCAGATTACAAGAAAAATCAATGGGGAAAGAAGAGCCTTTTTAACAAATAGTACTGGGACAAGTAGATACCCACATACAAAAGAACTTGTATCCTTACCTCACACCATATAAAAATTCAAACCGGACCAAAGACCCAAACGTAAGAGCTAATAAACTATAAAAACCCTTAACAGAAAACAGGTGTAACTCTTTGTGACCTTTGGATTAGGCTATGATTTTCTAGATAAGATACCTAAAGCACAAGCAACAGAAAAAAAATTGGACTTCATCTAAATTAAAAATTCTCTTGCTTCAAAAGATACTATCAGCAAAGTGAAAAACCAACCCACGGAATAGGAGAAAATATTTGTTTTGTGAATATAAAGAACTCCTACACCTTAAGAAGAAGAATACAATCCAATTGAAAAATGGGCAAAGGATCTGAGTATGTATTTCTTTAAAGGAAATATACAACTGGCCAATAAGTACCTGAAGAGATGCTCAATATCATTCACTAGAGAAATACAAATCAAACCCACAATGTGAACCAGAGAAATGTGAGCCAAACTACTTCATGCTCACTAGGATGTCTATAAACAAAAAAAAATTAACAAGTGTTTATAAGGCTATGGAGAAATAGGAACTCTCATAGAGTTCGGTGGGAATGTAAAATGGTGTAGATGCTTTAAAAAACAGCCTTGACAATTCCTCAAAAAGTTAAATATAGTTATTGTATCACCCAGCAATTCCAGTCTTTGGTATATACCAAACAGAACTGAAGACATCTATCCACACAAAAATTTGTGTACAAATGTTCACAGCAGGCCGGGCGCGGTGGCTCACGCCTGTAATCCCAGCACTTTGGGAGGCCGAGGCAGGCAGATCACAAGGTCAGGAGATCGAGACCACGGTGAAACCCCGTCTCTACTAAAAATACAAAAAATTAGCCGGGCGCGGTGGCGGGCGCCTGTAGTCCCAGCTACTCAGGAGGCTGAGGCAGGAGAATGGCGTAAACCCAGGAGGCGGAGCTTGCAGTGAGCCGAGATCGCGCCACTGCACTCCAGCCTGGGCGACAGAGCCAGACTCCATCTCAAAAAACAAACAAACAAACAAAAAAAAATGTTCACAGCAGCATTTTTCATAATACTAAAAAATGAAAACCCAAATGTCCATGAGTTGATAAACTGATAAACAAAATGTGGTATATCCATACAATGGAATATTATTCAGCCATAAAAAAGAATGAAATAATGCTATATGCACATGAATGAATCATTAAAAACATTTATGCTAAATGAAGACAGAAAATACTACATATTGAATGATTCCATTTATATGAAATGTCTAGAAAAGACAAATCCATAGAGATAGAAAGATCAGTCATTGCCACGGACTGGGAGAATGGGGCAGACTGCTCATGGGTACAGGTTTTTTTGTTAAGGGAATACAATTTTCTGACATTAGATGGTGATAGCTGCACAATCTTGTGAATATACTAAAAATCACTGCAATATACACTTTAAAAGGGTGAATTTCATGGTAAATTATGTCTCAAATGAAAAAAAACATTACATAGGTCTGTAATCACTTATCCGTAATTCTGAAATCTAAAATGTTCTAGAAATCAACTTTTTTTTCCGAACTCATTTGTTGATTAAATCTCGCTTAAACTAACATGGGTCTTTTAAAAGTAACTAACTGTGAATATTTATTAATATATATTCACTGCAGAACTATTAATGTGCTCAAAAGAGGGTAAGAGGGCTGCTGCTCTGGGTTCTTTCAGAGGGTATTATTTAATATGTAATATATACATATATTCTGAAAAATGAAAAATTCTAAATTTTATACTACGTTTGATCCAAGGATTTTGGCTGAGGATTTTTGAACCTATATTATTATTATGAACTGATTATTTGTGTCTCCACACACTCCAAAATTTGTATGTTGGAGTACTAACCCCGATGTGATGGTTTTGGAGGTAGGGTCTTTGGGAGGTAATTCAATTGGACGAGTTTATGAAGATGAGGCCCTGATGATGAAATTAGTGTCCTTATAAGAAGAGAAGAGACCAGAACTAGCTCTCTTTCTGCCACGAAAGGACAGAGCAAGAATATGGCCATCAAATCTGCTAGCAACTTTATCTTGAACTTTCCAGTCTCCAGAGCAATAAATGTCTGTTCTTTAAGCCAGGGGTCCCCAGCCCCCGGGGCCCTGGACAAGTACCAGTCCATGGCCTGGCCACACAGCAGGAGATGAGCGGCAGGTGAGCAAGCAACACCACCTGAGCTCCACCTCCTGTCAGATCAGTGGCAGCATGAGTTTCTAACAGGAGCATAAGCCGTTTCGTGAACTGTGCATACGAGGGATCTAGGTTGCACACTCCATATGAGAATCTAATGATGAATGTAATGCATTTGAATCATGCCAAAACCATCCCCACTCCAGTCGGCAGAAAAATTCTCTTCTGAAAAATTCTCTTCTGAAAACTCCCTGGTGCCAAAAAGGTTGGGCTGACAGTTTAAGCCCCTCAGTCTATGAGTTCTATTTTATTTTTTAATATAGCAGCACAAACTAAGACAAATATATTGAACACGGTCTGTTAAATACATGTGTAAATAACAGCAGAGAGAGGGAAAAAAAAGTCTGGTTGGATCTTAATAATCGGGTAAGAAAATATATACAAAGCAAACATATGGAATGGGTAAGGCTAGCTTGAATAAAACAAAGAGGATGCAAGGGAGACAGAAAATATACGAAGTTGTGATACAGGTCTCAATAAAGGAAAAATCCACTATCAAACGGGGGTAGAAGAGAAGGACATCTTTAAAAACACTATTACAATTTAAAATTAAAAAACAAAGCTTGGCTAAAAAATTAAAGGATAAGTCTCACTTGTATTCACTAGTCTCCAGTTTCACTCCTCAGTGGTAATTATCATTAATAGGTTCCTACGAATCATTCCAGAAATGGTGCATGCGCACACTCACACAATATTAACCAAAAGAGTACCTACCACAATATTTGCAAACTTAACATTAGTTTCAGTTAAAATACAACACATGATGAACACTGTAAAGGACTGTTCAAGATATGATTTATTTGTAAAGAAAGA